ATATTATTTATAATAAATATAAATTAAAAATCATAATAAATTATTTTATACTTTCTTATTAATTATTTTAAACTATTGCTTCTTATCAACATTTCGCTTATATTCTTTTGATTTTATTTATTGTAGGTATTTAAGTTGTTTTATTTATTAATTACTATATTACAATTACTATTTGTTTATTATTTTTTTAGAAATAATTATGAAGCGCAATAGATTAAATATATGTGAAATGTCATTCAAAACAAAACTAACTAAGCAGTCTCAAGCTTCTTTTCGATCTTCTGCAAATCTTCAAACAAAAAAAATTAAATTATCAAATACAAGTGGATTACAAGTTCAAAAAAAATAATAAAGTTGTCGATAAACAAACTAAAACTCAATATATTAATGAAGAATCTAATGTTCGATATATTAGTGAAGAACCTGTTTCTCAAACTTAATATATTAGTAAAGAATTTGAACTTGAATTTCAATATAGCAAAGATCCTGAACTTGAAGTATCTCATAATAAATATTTATTTAATTCAAATAATAATGATAATCTTGAAAGTACTTCAACTTAATAAAAGAAATAGCAGATTGAAGGCAAAAAGAGTTCAATTAGGTAAATAAATTTTATTTATTCGTATATCTCAAATAAGTTTATAAATTTAATTATTAAATATTATTAGAAAAAGTTAATTATTTCTGCAACGAAGACACTATAATCGGATCTCTTAAATCTCTTCATACAATGATTAATACACTTACAGATTCAGTTAATAAAATAAAAAGAGATATATGAACTTATAAAACAACAACGAAAAACTTTTACAAATCAAACATATTTTTATAAAAAACAGTAGTTTTATGTTAGTATTAAATTTATATTATTATATATACATGTTATATATTTTTATTAACTTTAATTTTTTTTATTATAGAAAACTGTATGTAAAGCAATTCAGAAAAAAATGGAAACAATTAAGTATCCATCAAATGAACATCTTGAAATTGTATCAAAAACGACTCTTAAAGATCACAATAAGAGTTAGTTAGAAGCTGTTCATATAAATCTTTTGTGGAAAAGTATATGAAATAATAGTATTGCGCTTGCTGCAAGTTTTTTAATAATAATAAAATCATCTATTTTTATTTAACTTTAATTAAATTATTTTTTTTTTAATAGGCAAAAGAAATTGCCTGGGAATATTGAAGCAAAATAAAAATTAAAATAAAGAAAGCATTGACAGAAGTATTTGGTAGAAAAAGATTTCCACCAATTGAAGAAGCACGCCCATCAGTTGATTAAATAAATGTATAGAAACTCAAAGATATGATTCAAGCATGCTTTGTAGATCTAGAAAGTCCAAAAAATCCAGACAATCCAAAATTTACTTGGTGGCTTGCTGTTCTTGAGCAAGTTTATCTAGAAGAAACTACTAAAAATAATATCGCATTTGCAAGTATTTGTATTGATGTTATTTGCAATACTGAATATTCTGAATATAAATTATAGCAAAAATATATTGTTTATGAAATGAATTTAGCTCTTAAAGGAATAGAATTAGATGAATTGGAGATTGAGATTGAATATAAAGGAAATGAAGCTAATTATATTAAAGAGGAGGAAGAATAAATAAGCCTAACATTAAAGGTATCTGCTAGCATTAGCATTATATATCTAATTATATACATATGTATATCATACAGTATATATATGTACACACACACACAAATAGATCACTTATCATCACTTATCTAGATTAAAATTCGAGTGTCTTTTAATTTTTTTTTTTTTTAATATAAACCCCTACTATGGGGACACCAGAGTCTTTTAATTTTTTAACAACTTAATACTTATGAGATTGAAGACTTGTAAGTCTTAAAAGATTTAAAACACTTTAATATTTTAAAGATTTAAACTACTTTAAAACTCTAATATTTAAATACTTTCAATACCCATTACTCTTAAAAGATCTGTAATTCCAGGATGTTAGATCAAACAGAGTAGTACAGTATTTCTTTTGTTGTCAAAATTATTTAATCTTAATATAAATTAGAATTACTATCGCTATTTTGTTTTAACTTAACTCTCTTTTTTTATTATATAACATTCAACTAATTTATGTTTATTTTAAAATCTTTTCTTCTACCTATACATAGATCTAGCTTTGCTGGGTTGGAATTAAGCGTCTTTCAGCTCTTTCTTTCTAGTTGATTTAGCTTTCCAGGTTGGAGTTGAACAAGCTAATCTTTCGGTTCTTTCTTACATCTATTACATTTGCTGGGTTAGAATTCAATTGGCTTGTTTTTCGGTTCTTTCTTTTTTTCTACTGTGTACGTTAATTTAGCTTTGCCGGGTTGGAATTTAACAAGCTAATCTTTTGGTTCTTTCTTATTTCTACCATGTATTTAGTTTTGCCGGGTTAGAATTCAATTAGCTTGTCTTTCAGTTCTTTCTTTTTTCTACTGTGTATATTGATTTAGCTTTGCCGGGTTGGAATTTAACAAGCTAATCTTTCAGTTTTTTCTTACTTCTACCACAAATATAAACTTTGCTGGGTTAGAATTCAATTGGCTTGTTTTTCGGTTCTTTCTTTTTTCCTACTGTGTATGTTGATTTAGCTTTGCCAGGTTGGAATTTAACAAGCTAATCTTTTGGTTTTTTCTTACTTCTACTACGTATATAGACTTTGCCGAGTTAGAATTCAATTGGCTTGTCTTTCAGTTCTTTCTTTTTTTCTACTGTGTATGTTGATTTAGCTTTGCCGGGTTGGAATTGCACAAGCTAATCTTCAGTTTTTTCTTACATCTACCACAAATATAGGCTTTGACAGGTTAGAATTCAATTGGCTTGTTTTTCAGTTTTTTTTTTCTTCTACTATGTACGTTGATTTAGCTTTGCTGGGTTGGAATTGTACAAGCTAATCTTTGGTTTTTTCTTACATCTACCATGAATATAGACTTTACTGGGTTAGACTTGTCTTTCAGTTTTTTCTTTCTTCAACTATGTACGTTGATTTAGCTTTACTGGGTTGAAATTTAACAAGCTAATCTTTTGGTTTTTTCTTATTTCTGCCACAAATATAGACTTTGCCAGGTTAGAATTTAATTGGCTTGTCTTTTGGTTCTTTCTTTTTTTCTACTGTGTATATTGATTTAGCTTTGCCAGGTTGGAATTTAACAAGCTAATCTTTTGGTTCTTTCTTACTTCTACCATGTATATAGACTTTGCCAGGTTAGAATTCAATTGGCTTGTCTTTCGGTTCTTTCTTTTTTTCTACTGTGTACATTGATTTAGCTTTGCCAGGTTGGAATTTAACAAGCTAATCTTTCGGTTCTTTCTTACTTCTACTACATATATAGACTTTGCCAGGTTAGAATTCAATTGGCTCGTCTTTCAGTTCTTTCTTTTTTTCTACTGTGTACATTGATTTAGCTTTGCCAGGTTGGAATTGCACAAGCTAATCTTTCAGTTCTTTCTTACTTCTACATGTATATAGACTTTGCCGGGTTAAAATTCAATTGGCTTGTCTTTCGATTCTTTCTTTTTTTCTACTGTGTATATTGATTTAGCTTTGCCGGGTTGGAATTTAACAAGCTAATCTTTTGGTTCTTTCTTACTTCTACCATGTATATAGACTTTGCCGGGTTAGAATTCAATTGGCTTGTCTTTTGGTTCTTTCTTTTTTTCTACTGTGTACATTGATTTAGCTTTGCCGGGTTGAAATTGCACAAGCTAATCTTTCGGTTCTTTCTTACTTCTACCATGTATATAGACTTTGCCGGGGTTAGACTTGTCTTTCAGTTTTTTCTTTCTTCAACCGTGTACATTTATTTAGCTTTACCGGGTTGGAATTTAACAAGCTAATCTTTTGGTTCTTTCTTATTTCTACCATGAATATAGACTTTGCCGGATTAGAATTTAATTGGCTTGTCTTTCAGTTCTTTCTTTTTTTCTACTGTGTACATTGATTTAGCTTTGCCAGGTTGGAATTGCACAAGCTAGTCTTTTGATTTTATTGTTTTTTTTTATACTTTACATAGGTTTTAGTATTATCAGGTTTGGCTGTTTATGCAAATTTAATTTATCGCTTCATTGATCCTTATCAATCAAATTTATATTGATATTATCTATT